CAGTAACTGAGATTATCATGTTATTTATGTTTGGTTATGTTTGAGTTTAAAACATGAGTTTGACTTGTTTATCTTATTATCAAACAAACTTCTCTTCAATCTCGTAATCCTATACATGAAACCTGAAACCTAATAATCAGAATAGGTTTCTTTGAGATTATAGGGACAAGAACAGAGAGACGTTTCTCTCCGTTGCAAAACTAATGTCATCGTTTCATACCTTACTTCTTGTTAAGTAATTATTAGACTGGAACTAATGTCACCGTTTACACTTTTAACCACACGAAGAAAAGACACAAGTACATTCATCTCGAGTTTTAAAGAAGAAAAAATTCATGTCGACCATGAGTATCTTCATCTTCATCCATTTTATCTTGTTTTCCAAATTTCTTGTTTTCCTTTGTATTCATACTCAGTTTCATAATCTTCTTCTAAGTCTATCTTCTCTATTTCAACAATGGTTCCATGGTTCCTCAGTGTCTCTCTCTCCGCTGCATTCTCTTCTCTCTCCTCTGCATTCTCTTCTCTCGTTTTTGTCTATCTCTCTTTCTGTCATTTGTCGTGAAACATAGACATGAAACCTAATTTCGATTTGATCCTCAATTTGTGTTTTTGTTTTTATGTTAGCTCAGGTCATGTTTTATTTTTAATGTCGGGTTGGGTCTTGTTTTAGTTGGGCAATCACTGTCACTAAACGCGTTTTCTGTTCTTCTAATTTTGATTTCGAAATCGATTAAGGAGGGGGATTAAAAAAATGTAGGGGGATATATGAAGAGAATTCATATTTTTGGGTGTATTGGTCAAGAGCCAAGAAGTTTAGGGAGAAATAAATAGGGTGTGCAAATCTGCAAAGAGTTTTAGGCAGCAACCCTCTTGAAAACGTTGTTTCTTTTGATGGACTGCTACTGTGCATAAAACAAATACTTACTAGGCATGAAAAGTTTGTAGAGATAACAAAGAAATAAAAAGCGGTTATGATTGAATATTACATTCTTGTCTTGTATAACGTTGTTAGAGCATGGCCGGATCTGAGATTTTGGGGTTTGAAACATTCTTTAAGAATTCTAAAAATTTTGGGGGCTAAAATCAATATTTAAAGGTATATTCTTATATTAAAAATTTCTAAAATTTTTGGAGGCCAAAACAAATGTTTCATTCGGCTGTGTCCAAATCCGGTCTTATGTTAGAGTTAACATGTTTGTTTCATTGTTTTAGGTCACGGTTAGAGAGTTGTACACTCGTGTTACAAAAAAGAGAGAGTTCTACAACTCTATAGTTGAGAATTTGAGATGGCTCAAATTTGGTGACGTCAGTACGTCATAGTGGTGGAAAGTAATTAGGTTTACCTCTCTTGGGTGCATATTTTGTTTAGTGTGTGTGTGACAAACACACACATTACAAAAAAAAAAAAAAAAGAGTTTCAGTGCGATTGCAACTTAAAAAAAAACACTTATAAACATTATTACACAAATGCACTTGGCATCTCTCCACCTCTCGCCTCTTTCCACACTTCGCTTCCTCCTTCCTTTCTCTTCCAAACTCTCTTCGTTTCCTTCTCTCTTCCGAATCTCTGCCATGCCTCCTTACGGTCCTAATTCTCAGGGTGGTCGTCGAGGCGGAGGTTTCTCCTCCGGTCGCGGTGGAGGTCGCCGTGGCGGACGCGGAGGTGGACGCGGCGGTGGAGGTGGAGGTGGCCGTGGAGAACAGAGATGGTGGGACCCGGTGTGGAGAGCCGAGCGTTTGCGCCAGCAACAAGCTGAGGTAAGGAATATGAAGTCCTTTCAAAATTGGGAATCTGGAATTAAAAAACCTGAGTTCAGTTAATGAGAGCTTCTTGTCGGAACGGTACTTAGATTTGAAAGATAGGGTTTGGTCGTGTTGGTCAAATTTAGTGCCAACATAATGCTTAGGTTCAGAGTAGTCAGTAGTAATGAGCTTCTTGTCGGAACGGAACTTAGGGTTTGGTCGTGTTGATCAAATTTAGAATACCCCTGCATTGTCTGAACAAACTCACTTGGCTGTGTCAGAGTCCGGGACAAGATTTAGTTGTAGTAATTAGGTTTAGTTTGAGATGAATCTAATTAGGGTTATTTTGAGATGCTAGTTAGTATTGGATGTGTGGATGATCATAAGAAGGCTAATGTGAATCAGTTCATTTCAGATTGAAGTTTTTGATGAGAATGAATGGTGGAACAAGATTGAGCTGATGAAAACAGGAGGAGAACAAGAGATGGTAATAAAACGTAATTTTAGCAGGAATGATCAGCAAACACTCGGTGATATGGCTTATCAGATGGGTCTTTACTTGTAAGTCTTTATCTTCTGTCTTTAGTATTCATAGGTGTGAGATTATGTTATGAGACTTTTTTTTTTTTCTTTTTTGGAAGCCATGCGTACAATAAAGGGAAGGCTCTTGTAGTTAGCAAAGTTCCTTTGCCAGATTATAGAGCAGATCTTGATGACAGACATGGATCCACACAGAAAGAGGTAATAAAAGTGACACTAGTAAGAATAATTTTTACTCAGAGTTGGCTGCTGAATTGGTTTAACTCTCTTTTCTTGTAGATTCAAATGTCTTCAGAGACAGAGAGAAAACTTGGAACTCTTTTGAAATCAACACAACAAGTAGGCTCTTCAAACGCCTCTACTTCAGCATCTAATGACCAACAGGATCGTTCAGCAGCTCCTGGCTTGAAAAAAACTGATTCTGCTTCCAAATTTTCGGATTCTCATGAGAAAGAAAAATTCAGTATTGCACTCAAGGACAGGCAAGACAAACTAAAGGTACATATGGCTAAAGGAAACTTTATGCATCATGGAATATGTAGATAACATCATTTTTTTAACTGTTTCAACACAGGCAACTGAAAGTGTAAAAGCACTTCAAGCTTTCAGAGATAAGCTACCTGCTTTCAAATTGAAACAAAGCTTCCTTAACTCTGTTTCAGAAAATCAGGTAATATGTTATTATTTTTCTTTAACTCTGAGTCCATTGATAATATTCTCAAGATATAAGTAGTGTTGATCTTGGACTAATAGTTGTGTCATGTGTTTATTTTTATCAGGTACTGGTAGTTTCAGGAGAGACAGGGTGTGGTAAAACAACACAACTTCCTCAATTCATATTGGAAGAAGAGATATCATCCCTGAGAGGTGCTGACTGCAACATAATATGCACACAACCTCGGCGTATATCCGCCATATCTGTGGCATCTCGTATATCTGCTGAAAGAGGTGAACCCATTGGTGAATCAGTTGGTTATCAGATCCGTCTTGAATCAAAGCGTTCTGACCAAACACGGTTGCTGTTTTGCACAACTGGTGTTTTACTAAGACGGCTAGTAAGTTAAAACAGTTGTTCCATTACTCATTCACTCATCAACACTTTTCGTTTGAGCTATGATGTTTTATAATGCAGATTGAGGATCCTAATCTAAGTGGGATAAGCCATTTGCTCGTGGATGAGATTCACGAGAGAGGAATGAATGAGGATTTTTTACTAATCATACTAAGGGATCTTCTTCCTCGACGTCCGGATTTGCGTCTTGTTCTGATGAGTGCTACTATTAACGCTGACATGTTCTCAACTTATTTTGGGAACGCTCCAACTATGCATATTCCGGTATGACTAGTGTTTATCTAATGTGGTATGAATATTTGTGACTCATCTTTTCAACTTTCTTTTTGCTAGGGTTTCACATTCCCTGTGACAGAGTTGTTCCTAGAAGATGTACTTGAGAAAAGTCGCTATGCTATTAAGTCATCTGACTCAGGGAATTATCAAGGTAACTCGAGAGGTAGAAGAAGAGACTCAGAATCCAAGAAAGACGACCTGACTACACTGTTTGAGGTATGACTATATATCTCAAGCAAGATGCTATTGAAATAGTATAAGAGAGTTATCTTGAAAGCTTGAGACTTGACTCATCAAGTGTTATTTCAATTGTTTAGGATATTGACATCAATGTTCACTACAAAAGTTATAGCCCAGCCACAAGACTTTCTCTGGAAGCATGGTCGGGTGCACAGATTGATTTGGAGCTGGTATGAGTTTTGTTCTATCCTCTTGGTAGCTTCCAGCTAAAATCCAGCTAATAAGTAGCTCATATAATCTGTTATTAGGTTGAAGCAACAATAGAACATATATGCCGTCTTGAAGGTGATGGAGCCATTCTTGTTTTCCTCACTGGCTGGGATGAGATTTCGAAGCTGCTTGAAAATATCAAAGGGAACAGGTTGCTTGGAGACTCTAGCAAGTTCTTGGTTCTTCCTCTACATGGTTCAATGCCTACTGTTAACCAACGTGAAATTTTTGACCGTCCACCTCCTAACAAGCGGTTAGCCTTTATAAGCTGTTACTTCTCCTTCTAGCATTGTACATTTGTAGCAACACTTTCTTAACTAATGATCTGCTTTTGTAGGAAAATAGTTTTGGCTACAAACATTGCTGAGAGTAGTATCACAATTGATGATGTCGTATATGTTGTGGATTGCGGTAAAGCAAAGGAAACTAGCTATGATGCTTTGAACAAAGTGGCATGTCTCTTACCATCATGGATCTCAAAGGCTTCAGCTCATCAGGTATAATGTTGAATCAGCAATCATAGTTGTAAGATCTTATTAACTCCCACTTTTCTCTGGTTACAAAATGCAGAGACGAGGTCGTGCAGGACGTGTCCAAGCTGGAGTGTGTTATAGGTTGTACCCAAAAGTTATTTATGAAGCTTTCCCACAGTATCAGTTACCAGAAATCATACGGACTCCATTGCAAGAGCTATGCCTACATATCAAAAGCTTGCAGGTTGGATCCATAGGATCTTTCTTGGCAAAAGCTCTTCAGCCACCAGATGCTCTTGCTGTTGAGAACGCTATTGAACTTCTCAAAACAATTGGGGCTTTAGATGATACAGAAGAGCTTACACCCCTTGGTGAGTTTTGTCTTATCATTATGCATGTTTATGATATATGTTTTTCTAATGTCATGTTATACAGGCCGTCATCTTTGTACACTACCTGTTGATCCAAACATAGGAAAGATGCTTCTCATTGGAGCGATCTTCCAGTGTGTTAATCCTGCCCTGACAATAGCGTCTGCTCTGGCTTACCGTAGCCCCTTTGTCTTACCGTTAAATAGGAAAGAGGAAGCTGATGAAGCCAAAAGATACTTTGCTGGTGATTCCTGCAGGTGTGACCTAGAGACGAATTTTACTTTATTTTTTCAATTAGTTCTGTTTCTTACAGAACGTTTCTGTGTTGTGTAGTGATCACATTGCTCTTGTTAAGGCCTTTGAGGGATATAGAGATGCAAAGCGTGGTGGAAACGAAAGAGATTTTTGTTGGGAGAACTTTCTTTCTCCTGTAACCCTAAAGATGATGGAGGATATGAGGAACCAGTTTCTTGATCTTCTTTCAGATATAGGGTTTGTAGACAAATCAAGAGGACCAAACGTAAGCATCAAACCATTCTTAATAATCCAATGATATAATCTAAAGCTGCTGATCTTTTTTTTTTCAGGCATACAATCAGTACAGTCAAGATATGGAGATGATAAGCGCGGTTCTGTGTGCTGGGCTGTACCCAAACGTTGTGCAATGCAAAAGAAGAGGGAAGCGCACTGCGTTTTATACTAAAGAGTTGGGTAAAGTTGATATTCACCCTGGATCAGTTAATGCTAGGGTGAATCTCTTCTCGTTGCCATACTTGGTTTACAGCGAGAAGGTGAAGACGACAAGTGTTTATATTAGGGACTCAACGAACATATCGGATTACGCACTGCTTATGTTTGGTGGTAATCTTATCCCAAGCCAAACAGGGGAAGGTATAGAGATGTTGGGAGGGTATCTCCATTTCTCGGCCTCGAAGAACGTCTTGGAACTGATACAGGTAAACATATTGGATTGTAATCTTTCATGTTTGTTTTGTGATGTGAAGAGGAGAATGTGATTTGTGCAGAGATTGAGGGGAGAGGTAGACAAGCTGCTGAATAGGAAGATAGAGGATCCGAGTTTGGATATAACGGTGGAGAGTAAAGGAGTGGTTTCGGCTGTGGTGGAGCTGTTGCGTAGCCGAAACATCAGGTATTAAGAAAGTATCAACAGCCTTAATTAAGAGCTCCATAATGTGAACTCTAAACTCAGCTTTAGGATAAAAAGGTGATAAAAGTTGTATGTTAGAGCTGTTGATTTACAATAAACATTGTAGTAGGAGTTTTGATGCATCATCTCATTTTTTTCAGTGTTTTGCGGTTATATAATGTTTATGTTGGATGGACAGTAATGATGTTTATCATCATGTTTTTGCTGCTTAACAATTTTTCTAAGCTCAGCTTTAGGAATGCTTGTTAGGGGGACGATAACTATTATTCTATCAAAATCATCTCTAATCATCCCGGACAATAAATATGTTTGTTTTGTTTGTTTGGTGCAAGTCTTTGCATGACCGCAAACTGTTTGTTATTTTATCTAAACCTCGAATGAAATGCCAAGAAAAATATGAATAATAAAGTAACATAAAATTATATGAAATTAGACAAACGACATTGTTTTCGAAAACAAAACAAAAATAATCGAAGGGAAAGAGTTATGATTCTGTTCTTTTGTCTCCTCTATCTTGCTGGATGTGAATCAAGCTAGGAACATAACTAAAGATGTAAGGCGAGATATATAGCTGCATAGTTAGAACATAAGAGGTTTCTGAGTAATAGTCAAAGTCTTCTCCAAAAGTGTACACGATGCTCCTAAACCAAGGACAGGGATCACAACACAAGACCACCTTCTTCTCTTCATCCATGATAAAACTTTGAAAACGACGACGGCCAAGAGCATGGAGATTCACTTTAAAGGATTTGCTCCACGATAACTCCACTGCTTCATTATCAATTTTATTGCTCAGCCATACTTCCATCTTGTTTGAAACACAGTAATGCGGACTTATCACTGAGAGTTGCTCTTCTCTGACAACTGATAGAGACATGATATAAAGAGGATTATCCGGCAGTGAAAAACGTTTAAATCTCTCTGTAGTAAAATCAAAACGGAGTATAAATTTTCTGTTCATGAAAACTCTCTCCCTAGCAAGCCAGAAAGTATTTCCCTGCAAAGACACCTGATTTGGCAGTATGACCTCGCAGTCAAGAGCAATGTCATCACGAACCGTCCATGAATCAGAGCCAAACTCATAGATTTCAGACGTATCGTTTGGTTGGAAATCCTCCCGGCACCTCAAGATTTTGTAGCTATGGTAAGATTTGTTCTTCTTTTGGTATCCTAGAGCAAAGTTAGAGTGATAACCAGTATTTTTGAGTTGGATCCACCTGGTCTCTCCCAAACATGGATTCCACACAACGAGTCTATTGTGATTGGTGAAGCATAGCAACAAACCGCTGCAATGTAACACTTGGGTTATATCCACTTGTTCTAAATTAGAATAGGGGTCTTTTAGGGCAACTGCACCCTTAAGCTCTATAGATGGAGGAGCAACTTTGAGATTGACGCTCATTGGACAAAACCTATGCTCCTTAAAGATGAGAACCTCAAACTGCTTTGGAGCTTTACGGAAGTGCTTCTCGGTGAATCTTTGGTCCTTAACTAAAGAGTTCCATTGTCTGCATGTGGATCGCAACCGACATAGAGTTTTTGCCGGAACCCTAGAGAGTATTTCCTCTAACAAATCCGGTGTAAGATCAGATATCATCATTGTTTCTCTCCCAAGCAAGAAGAAAGCGGCTAGGGTTTTGATTTTCTGTGCATAAAAAAAGCTATTATTCCTTTTCCTGTGTGGATTCTATACGACAAGTTTTTATTTACTTTGAGTTTTTATTTACACTTGGGTTTAGATAATTACAAAGTTAATTGTTTTTATTTAAACTATAAGACGCAAATTAACCCCCACAATTCTAAAACTACAAAAACAAGATTAAAAAAAAGCGACAATGGTTCAATCACATAATCTTTAATGGTCCCACTCTAACACCTGGTTTACTGATAGTCGAGACTAGGCCTGGGTAAAAAAACCAAAAAACCGAACCGGAACCAAACCGAAATATCCAAAACCGAAACCGAACCGAAATTCTTAAATATCCGAATGGTTCATATATTTCTATACGCGAAAACTAAACCGGAACCGGAACCGAACGGGTACCCGAATATCCGAAAAAAACAAGTTAATTTTTTATTTTTAAAATAAGATAAAATGACATCAAACCCACTTGAACCCATATTAGATATAAAGAGTAAGTACATTTTTACCACTAGACCATGTTATGTTTTATTTATTCTGTTATATTATAAACATATATGGTATTTCTATATTAAAATATGATAATTATTTATAAAATTAACACTTTATTGATTCGAATTCTTGTTGGATTGACTAATATGTAAGCGTGTAAACACTAAGACAATTTAAATTAACATATTAACTAATATATTCTATATATATATATATATTTGATTTATATATTAAATGGGTACCCGGAACCGATCCGAAACCAAACCAAAATCTCATAAGTACATATTGGGTATAAGAATGAATTATCCGATATACCTAGAACTGAATGGTTCCTATCCGGAACCGAACCAAATATCCGAATGCCCAGGCCTAGTCGAGACTTTTGTACCTGAGGAAGCTACAAGTAGATCTAGCTACAAGTCCACTCATTCTTAGTAGTCCCCAACCGGATCGTACCAGTCTTTTTCCTTATTTTCTTGAACCAATATTTTTCTGTTGTGGTATATTATCGGTGATATCATAAACCAAACCCGATTGTACCGGTCTACATCAAAAGAAACTAGGAACTAATGCCAAACATCAAATTGATGAAGCCAAAAGATACTTTGCGGGTGATTCCTGCAGGTATGACTGGCTTAGAGAGGAGTCACTTTATATTTTTTAATAAGTTCTGTTTCTTACAGAACATGTTTGGGAGTTTTTGTGTTGTGTAGTGATCACATTGCAAGGCCTTTGAGGGATACCGAGACACAAAGCGTGGTGGAAACGAAAGAGATTTTTGGGAGAACTTTCTTTCCTCTGTAACCCTAAAGATGATGGAGAATATGAGGAACCAGTTTCTTGATCTTCTTTCAGATATAGGGTTCGTAGAAAAATCAAGAGGGCCAAACGTGTAAGAGATATCACATATATCTCAACAATATTCCTTAAGATTATAATTCCTCTGTTTAAGGATGTAACCCTAAAGATGATGGAGGATATGAGGAACCAGTTTCTTGATCTTCTTTCAGATATAGGGTTCGTAGAAAAATCAAGAGGGCCAAACGTGTAAGAGATATCACATATATCTCAACAATATTCCTTAAGATTATAATTCCTCTGTTTTAGGAATGTATAGTTACGGGATGTCCTACGTATTCTGTATATAAATACTCCTTATGTATTGTACAAAGATATATGAGAAACACATGTTTAACATGGTATCAAAAGCATAAACGATTACCCTAATATTTTTTTTTCCCGCTGCCATCTTCTCTTTTTCTTCCTCCTCGGTCTCCCACCTCTACAAAACTCCATGGCTGCGAACATCGATCAAATCGATCTCTCCAAAACACTTCTCAATGTTAACAAACTCACTTCCACCAATTACATGATTTGGAGTCTCCAAGTTCATGCTCTATGGGTATGACCTCACCGGTTACGTCGATGGGTCAACACCACCACCAGATCAGACGATCACCGTCGAAGATCAGACGACAGTGAACCCGGAATTCACAAAGTGGAGGCATCAGGATCGCCTGAATACAGCGGTCTCATCGGAACCCCGTCTCCATCGATTCAATCACTTGTCACCAACACCAAGACTTCTCAGGAGCTCTGGCAATCTCTCAGTTTGACATATGCAACTCCAAGTCGGGGCCATATCCAACAGCTTTGATTGCAACTCAAAAGCTACACAATGGCTGAACAGATTGAAGGCAGAGACACCAGTCCATTTATCGTTGAGATACACGAGAAACTGATCAATAAGGAGGCCAAGTTACTCGCGATCTCCCCTCCTGCAATCAGCTCAGTTCCTGTAACGGCGAACATGGCTACTACTCACCCCAAACAACAACCGCAGAGAGGAAATAATCCCAAATTGAACAACAACAACAAGCATAACCAGTTCAACAACCAGAAGCAACATGAGTATAAGCAGTCGAAGGGGTATCAAGGTCGCTTCCAGATTTGCAGTGTGTTTGGCCATGGCGCTCGACGATGTCCTCAGATGCCTCAGCAGAAATACACCAATGTCAGCTCATCTCCAATACGCCCTTGGCAACTGAGAGAAAACCTTTCAGTCTCTGCTAAACATCCATCGACAGCCTGGCTCATGGATTCAGGTGCTACATATAACTTAACAAGTGATCTTCACAACATGGCGATAAATCAACCATATCATGGAGATGACTCGGTTTTGATTTGGGATGGTTTTGGTCTTGCCATAACACATGTGGGAACCAAAATTCATCCCTGTCGATTTTACGTAAATTTAGGAACTTAGGGAAAACCCTAATTTCCCAGAGGACCCGGTTATCTACGGAACCGCACACAAGCAATCAAGAAAACAACAAGAATAAGTAAAGGGTAACTAAAACGAGATTGAGAGCAAGAAGGAGTCTTATTCCGAATTTCTGTACGAACAGTACAAAAAGAGTAAGCCTTAGCTACGTGAGCCGTTGGCGAGATTCCTAGTTCTAGCAATCTAAGACTAAAACCCTAGTTGAGACGCAGCTCGATAACAAAAACATAAAGTTTCCTAAATGCTAAGTTTTGGTGATGAGAGCTCTAAAAAATCGTCCTTGTGCTCTGTCATTGGCCTTCTGCTTATATACTCCCTCCTTAGGCGGTTTAGTCCTTCCTTTTCGCCCAGATTCGAGTTTATCGGGAATCTTCTATTTATCTCGATCTTTCCATTTTCTTTGCGGAAATCTTCGGTTTATCTTCAAACTTGAAATTTATCTTCTTTCTGCTAGTAAATCGTCGAACCGTCATCGTACCTTTGGGCTGGACTTCGTTTAAAGTCGCAAGTGGGCTTTTATCGCGTTTTAGGACTGTCCGAGCCGTTTTGCGATAAAACCGTTTTACGATTTTAGACGAGATCGTTTCCTGATACGATGCTGATTCTATAAGGTTTCTCGAGTTAATCGTATAGTTTGACAATGTACGATATTTCGTCTAATCGTTGTCGTTTTATACGATTTTCCCGAACTCTTACGAGAAAAGAAGACTTTTACAATTTTTATCGTAAAACTCGAATGGCGGGACAGATCGAGATGAAACGAGAGACGTTTCGAACATGGTTCGGAGCATGATCGAACCGAATGACGTATGCCTTGTGTCAAGGATGCGGAGGATCGAGGCTCAGGATGGTCAGCTCGACGTACGACGAGCTGCTTTGAGGCGACCAGCTCGCCGTATGGCGAGCTGAACCGGCTGGTTCGGCTCGTCGTACGCTAAACTGGTTTGATCAAACCTGCTCGCGGTTTACGGCGGATGCGGTTTTTGCGGTTTTTTGCTTAACTTGGGCAATCCTGTAATCGGAAGTTGTTTCGCTCTTTTTTCTGAGATCACAATTTCCAAGTTTTCCGCGGATTTCCTATTTTGGAAATTCCTTAGAGTTTTATAAAACAACTTCTCGTGTTTTATAAAACGTATTTTTATTTTTGCGGAAAGTTTTGGTCATTGATTCCGTCATACCGATTTTGACCCCAACAACACACACGGGTTCTCTCTCTCTACCCTCGGCTACAAGAAACTTATATTTGAACAATGTGCATATTGTGTGCCCAACATTA